TCAATTTTACCTTATGATTCAAGATCTCATTCATCCTTCTAGTAGCCTCTGTGGTATGAGACTCCGGGAAGTATTTCTTGGGGACAACACCATACTTCTCTAAAAGAAAGTAATAAAACTATGGGTTAACAATTGTGTTTTCCACACAGTAGATGCTCATGCTTCTGCTTATACCCACATAAAAGCTAAATATAGTTGGGTTTTGTGCAGAGATTATAAGGGAAAGTCTCTTATTTAAAGGTTACAAGTACTCAAAGTTTACATTCTAATTTGTGACTAAATCTTGACCTCTGATCCACATTCCACAGGGGTCCCAAAAAGTGGAATCCCTGAGCTGCTCAGTATCATTTAATTCAACACTTAAAAGTTCTAAACTAATTAGTGCTTTTTAAGGAGCTCTCTTCACCAGAAAAAAAAAAACGGTTACTTGACAATTAAGCTCCAGAACTATCTTCTAAAGAACTGGGCCTCTTCTGAATTATTCCATGTATTTTTTCTAAAGTTAAGTGACTAACTTGCCAGTCTCCTTTCCTGCTCAACATATATAAAGCACCAGCAGCAGCTCACTTGCTTCCTACGTTATGGTACCAAAGATCACACCACGCAAGGCTCTGGATGTAACAGCAGCATCCAAAATCTTCTCTGCCCTGATTACATATTTGTAACAATTGGATGGGGAAAAAACATAACCTCCAGGCTTCAAAGAAGCAAACTCCTTTTGTGATTCTAAACTTATATTGTTGGCTTGTTGATTTACAAAGGTGTCACGTTATTTCACAATACAAATGAAAGCAAGCACTAGTGTAATTCAAACACAGAGAAGTATCTCCTTAATCCGTGTAAGGAAGTTAGCACTTAAGCTGGATCTTTTCAAGACCAGCATTGCCACATTCCACATCATTTCCCTCTCACTGATCTTTATACCATCTTTCTCCAGGCTGCAACTCTGTAAGTAGTTTTGCTTCTGCCTTGTAGACACACCCTAGCCTAGCAATGAGGTTTTTTTCCTTACCACATGCCCTAAAAATTGTACACATGGATACACATAAATAATGTCGAGTTGATGACTGAAGTAAAAGGGGATTGAACCTTTTTACTAAATGAAAAGTCTGGGATATCTAATTACTTCTGTTGAGCTTCTACCATCATCAGCAATATGGAAGAGTGAAGATCCCAGACAAGATTTAAGCCTACTACTTATAAACTGGCATGAAAAAGGTCTTTGATTAAAAAAAGGTAGTGGCTAAAGGCATCATGTTCCTTTGCAAACTCCCAGGTCTCAAACTCAATTTCTTCTTCTATTTCGTTCCTCATCTCAAAACAGCGTGCAATTTCAGGAAGCACTCCTAGTGACCAGTTCTCTTACCGATAATGTTAACCAACATATCCCACTGTCCACCATCATTTGTGGGATTAGAGAGCAGGAACTGTATCAGTCTTCCTTCCACAGGCTCCTTTTTCTGAGCTGTTTCCACAAAGGCATTTAAAAAGTAGTAACAACGTTCAACCTGAAACGGACAGACAGGAAAAAAACTCTCAAGTCTGACATACTATGCATTAATTAATTGCTGAGTATTCGGTTCTTCAAAGTCCTAACTAGGTAAAGCTACCTTCTGCTCATCCACTGAAGTCCTTATTTTCCCTCTAGCATTCCAGGACTTATCCTATAAACTTCTTTCTGTTACAGACCAAATATTTAGGAGTGAGTTAGTACAGAGCTGGAGGGTAGGGGAATAGGAAATGTGAAACAGAGTTATGCAATGAACCCTGGCCCAAACTTGTACTAGATTTTCTCTATTTCCCTTAGGGGGGAAAAAAAGCAGGCACACAGCTGGCAGATCAGTAGGTCACAAGTGCAACCGAAACCTCAACAGAAAGTTACAGTCACATTTCCCCTGAGCATCCTACAAGTAACTTGCAAAATACGCAGAACACTTGAAAGAAATCTTTTACTGTTCCAAAACATGAACATCTTGACAACTTTCTTCTCAAGCTGAAAGTCCCACTTTGCTCGACCTACATTTAAAATAGGTATTTAAACAACTTCTGAAGTTTCTTCTCATGTATGTTTTCCACCTGGATTGTTAAGACAGCCCAGCCTAAAAGAAATTCTACCCCAATACTAACTGCCAATTGCATAAGCTGTCCTAGCACAACCTGCAACCTGTGCTACTGTACCTTATCCCAGAAAAATAGATACGACTGGCTGAATTCGAACTCTTCGATGTTGTATTTCTTCATGAAAGGAAGACGCATTGCATTGAGACAGGAAAAGATCCAACATCTCCCTGAGAGATCAAAGGAACGAGAATTAAACTGGAATGTCTGTACTCTAAGAGCTGCGTAAGGTTTGCTGGGTTTTTTTAAAGACAAGATTCATGACACCGTTGCGCCTCAAGCCTTTGGCCCACTGTTCTGGCTGAGACCGTAAATACCAAAAAGCTCATAAGCAGTTCACAAATCTTTTGCTGCAAACGCAGCTCTCTCAACTGATTTTATCTTGTACTACACAGAAGGGAAAAACAGGCAGCCGCCGCAAGTCCAGCGACTGTTATTACCTCAAGAGGACGCTGCGGGGATTCAATTTGGCTCCGAAGCCCTCCCAAAGGACTCCAGAGGCAGCCATCGCTCCCAGGAGCCCAGACACCATGACATCATTCATTCCCCAAACGCCACAGCCGCCGAAGGAGCAACCCCCCCCAAGCCCCTCCACACCCCCCCACCGGCAGCCGGCGAAGCCCCTTACCGGAGTTCTTCTGGTTGGTGACGGGTTTGCCCTCGGCGGGCACGGCGTGCTGGAAGACCTGCACCGTGTCCTGCACCACCTGCCGCTGTAAGCACACCTCCAGCGGGTCGTTGCACGTCGCCACGTTCTGGGCCAGCAGGAACTGCGGCTCGGCCCGCAGCCGCCGGCTGAAGGCGGCGGCCTTCTCCGTGCTCAGCCCTGAGGGACAACGGGCAGCCGTCACCGCCGGCACCGAC